AGAGCTAGTAGGGTCACTACAAATTAAGCCAAACGTGGCGTCTAAATAGAAATAATATTTCAAAACATTACAAATTAATATGAAGAAAGTTATAATTTAATGTAATTTAGTTAAGTTCAAACATAGTTTTAGCTTTCCTTCTCCAGTAGCAGCAGAAGTGATGCTGTTCATTTTCTCGGTACTCAATTTTATAGTTTAATACGCTGGCTGGATTCACTCTTAGTTTACGATGTCTTAAAATGTAGCGTATATGTAAAAGTTTAGGACTTAAAATGTATTCTAAAGAGCTTCTAGTATATGACAGTATCTATAATTCTACATATACCTAAGTATTTATATATTAACTAGCGACTCACCCTTGCTCTGCTCAGCTTAATCCCTTGGTACGTTTTAACAGTTAGTATAGATTCAGAGATGAAATATTTTCTAGCAGTAAAAAGTATCCTATATGTTGACCAGGATAACCAGCTATCATCATATCAAATTTCATCAAAATTTGTCAAGTAGTTTTCTCGTGATGCGTATCCAGACAGACAGACAAAAATTTAAAAAACTATAGATTCGGCCTCTGTATATTACAGATTCGACTCAGTTAGAATTTCATTATATGTACAGATTTATGGAGAAAAGCCAAAAGGCTCTAAACTAAGGCATAACGCTAGCTGTATATCAATTATACATAAATAATCTACGTCAGACGAGTCTACTCAGGCAAAGTCAAGTATTGAAAAGTCAAAATAAGAGTCTGGAACTACTTATCCGATGCAAAAATGAATTTAATAAAACGCTTTACTATTAGTCGACTATATAATGCGAGAGTAGCCATTTCAATATGAAATAAAATAAATAAATGTTTGTCTGTTATTTGAAAAATTTAACAAAAATAACATCTATTCTACCTACTTTAAATAAGACTGAATTTCTTGATCATGGTCCTTGATCTGTACCTTGACCTTTGATCAGGTTTTTTACTCCACTATTATAAATGCGATATTTGGTATGCGTATTTATAATTTGTTACACTTCAGCATTGGTTTAGTGGCTGTATGTGCGCAACAGATGTAGAAATCCTAGGTTCGAGATCCAGATCGGGCGAAGTATTAATGAAGATGGCGTAGAGGAAGATGGAGGTGTTACGGAAACACCATGCAGCTGTCGATTCTGTGTCTGATCTTTAACTAATCGTATAAAATTCTCACCGAACTTTGAGAGTGGAGGAAACAGAGAGTGCAACTTTTGTTTGCGTACACACGAGTGGATTATAATATCTCCTGCACATTTGGATAGTCTTTGATTTTGGATAGAGATTTGAGATAGAGATGTAAAATGATGAGACGTCAAAGCTGAAATCAGTCAGGAGGACATTATTATATTTATTTATATGACCTACTAACGGCTGACCCTCGCTTTGCTTCGGGTACCTTCCTAGACAAAAACAAATCTATCCCACGAGAACCATACATTTTTCCAAGATAAAAAGTTACCTATGTGCTATTCCAGACTATAATCTATCTCTGTGCCAAATTGCATCCAGATCCGTTAAGCCGTTCTGACGTGAAAGAGTAACAAACATCCATCCATCCTCACAAACTTTCACATTTATGATATTAGTAGGATCCTTTATTTGGATAACGAAAAAAAAATATTTACGTGAAGTCATAGCAAAATATAGTTTTATTCTCGAATTATCTCTCGAAAATGGCTGTGGGGGAATATATTGACCAACTTCGTTACCCGACGTATCTGAAAGTGTCAAATCTAATAAAAAACATTCTTACTAAATTTTAGTTGACCTGTGCTCTTAGATGCAAAGATCAAAGGAAATTTATGTAAAGCTTATTTGACCCATGTATGGAGTTAGGTTATATGGGTCGTGGTTATAACCATGAGTCAATATTTTTATCTACTTCGAAAACGATACACATACACATACATAGTATTATGTAGTTAATACTCGTACATACAGGTCAAACACATAACCTTCCTTTGGGTGTTCGCCATAGTCGGGTAAAAATAGACAGGTTTTCCCTTCTCGACAAATACATTTTGTAAAATAATATTGTTTTATGATGCTAGGTTAATAAATATACTTGATCGACTTGATATGACTTTATTATTTTTAGACAGTTTTGACTCAAAGACGTGACTCGACATTACAATACAATGATTCAGACCAGAGAGCTAGACAAGGCATAGACAATAGTTACAATCATAGAGTTCTTAACATAGACATAATAAAATAGATTATAGATATACAACATCTCCCTTTTTATAAAATAAAGTTTACATTTAGATTTTTTACTTAAACTGAAAAACAATAGTATACATAGTATGTACTACAGAACATATTAACAGTATTACAAATTTACAAATTCAACCTATCTGGTTTCTTAATTACTCTACCTGATCTACTTTTATTACAATTCTCCTGTAAATTAATATTTTTATCCATCTCTTTATTATTAGTATCCATCTGTCTGTTCCTCTGCTGATTATCCCTTTCCTCAAAATTGTTGGATTTCATCTCATTATCAAACTTATGACAACTATCATTACAATTAAATTTAATTAAAAATCTATTCCTTCTATACCTTTTACCTTCAGCGTCTTCTATTATGTATGAACGTTGACAATCTAATCTTTTAATGACTTTTCCAGGAAGCCAATCTGAGTTAGGATTTTTTTTAAAAGTTATATAATCTCCTGGCTGTAATAATGGTAATTGTTTCTTATTTCTATCATAGTAAATTTTACTCCGAGCACGATTTTTCTCAAAATTATTTTTATATTCATTAAAAGTGACAATTTTTGGTTTAAGTTTCTTATTAGTAATTGGTATATGCATTCTTAAATTTCTAGACATTAATAATTGAGCTGGCGATGGAAAATTAGCTTTAGGTGTGTTCCTATACTGTAACAATGCCATGTAAGGATCTTTATTTGACTCTAAACATTTTTTTAATAAATTTTTCATAATTTTAACAGAACTTTCAGCTTGTCCATTAGATTTCGGGTGATATGGACTAGTTATAATATGTTCAATATCCCAAGCATATAAAAAAGATTTAAATTCAGCAGAATTAAATGGTGGACCGCCATCCGATACTAATTTCATGGGTATACCATGACGAGCAAAGATAGACTTTAATTGTATTATTATATTAGATGCTGTGTATTGACTATTTAAAATTGCTAACTCTATAAATTTGGAATAATAATCAGTAACTACTAAGTAATTCTTGCTATTAAAATACATTAAATCAATACCGACTTGTTGCCATGGAAAACTTGTGATATCATAGCTTTGAAGAGGTTCTTGTTGATTATTTGGTTTAAATTTAGCACAAATAAGACATTGATCAACTAAGTTTTTTATATCTGCGCTCATATTTGGCCAAAAAATAATACTTCTAGCTAAATTTAAAGATTTGTTAATACCTTGATGACCTTCATGCACTTTCCTTAACATTTCACTTTGCATTGATTTTGGAATAATTAATTTATCACTTTTAAACAATAAATCATTAATAATATGTATTTCACCTTGAATATTCCAATAATACTTTAATAAAGGATCCATTTTATTTTTACTGACAGGCCATCCCTCTAGACAATATTTTTTTAATTTTTGTAAGTCTTTATCAGAATTAGTAGCAATTAAAATTTTATTTTTATATTCCTGACTAATAGCTAAATTAGAATATAAAGAATTAACATGAAAAGATAAATCTGATTCATAATTAGGAATATAATTTTCTTTTAAAGCTGCCCTAGAAAGTGTGTCTGAAATATACATCTCTTTACCAGGTACATAAATAACATTTAAATCATAAGCTTGCAATGAAAGCATCATTCTCTGTAACCTTGCAGGTACATCATTTAATGGTTTTTTAAACAAATAAACTAGCGGCTTATGATCAGTATGTACGGTTACCTTATTACCATATACATATTGGTGAAATTTTTCACAACCAAATTGAATAGCCAATAACTCTTTTTCTATTTGAGCATATTTTTCTTGTGTAGCTGTTAAAGTTTTAGAACTATAAGCAATAGGTTGTTTATTTTGCATGAGAACTGCGCCTAATGCTGACTTGGATGAATCTACTGACAAAACAAGAGATATATTTGGATTGTAATGTACTAAAATAGGAGATTTTGTTATTTCCTCCTTTAATAACTGAAAACATTTACTACAATTTTCATCCCATAACCATATAGTATTCTTTTTTAACAGATTTCTGAGAATTTTTGTTTTATCTGACAAATTTTTAATAAAAGGTCCTAAATAATTAATCATTCCTAATATTCTTTGTAACTCTTTGACGTTAGTTGGATCTGGCATATCAAGAATAGCTTTAACTTTATTTTGATCAACTTTTGCACCTTCTTTACTAAATATATAACCTAAAAAACATATTTCATTGACTGAAAATTTACATTTATTTTTATTGAACTTTAGATTAACTTCTCTAGTCCTTTGCATGACTTTTAATAATCTTTGATTATGAATTTGTTCTGTTTCACCAAATACTAAAATATCATCTACAAAAACCAAAACACCTTCTATATCAGAGAAAATATCTGTCATAACTCTTTGAAAAATTTCTGAGGAAGCATTAATTCCATAAGGTAATCTTAAGTATCGATAACGACCAAAAGGAGTTTGAAATGTGCAAAGATCTGAACTAGCATCATCAAGTTTTAACATCCAAAACCCTGAATAAGCATCAAGATGAGAAAAATATGAAGCACCATTCAATATTGACCTAATTTCATCTATGCTTTTAAGAGGATAATGTTCTCTGACTATATATTTATTAAGATTTCTCGGATCTAAACAAATTCTTAACTGACCTGATTTCTTGACAGTGATAACTACAGAATTTACCCATTCGGTTGGATATGTGACTTTTTCTATGACCTTTAATTTTGACATGCGATCCAATTCTTTTTTCAACTTATTTTTTAATCCAAATGGAACTTTTCTGGGATGATCAACACATGGAATTGCATTCTGCTGCAACTTGAGGTGACAGACAGGTGGTAGACATCCTAATCCATGAAAAACATCATTAAAGTATTTTAAAATTTGGTTACTAGAAAGAAATTTATCGTTACTGTTGACTGCAAAAACTTTTTTTAATATTCCTATATCCCTACATGTGGGAAGACCTAATACAGTAGCACAATCAATATTTGCTATTAAAAATAATATGTATCTTTGACAATTATTGAAAAAACATTTTAAATTACACTGACCAAATACTTCTATAGACGAACCATCGAAACCTTTAACATTTGCACTACAACTTTTAATAATAGACTGTGATAAATTTAATTTGTTAAAAGTATTAAGAGACATTATATTGGTATCAGCACCGGAATCAAGTATGCATTTTACTTCAACATTATTAATTAGAACTGATAAATACCATGACTTATTGTTGTTGACACTCTTCACCATACCGATGAAAAATTGTTCTGGATCATTGTTTGATACCTCTTCGGCATCTTGGACTGGATAAGACGATTCTAAAGATCTAATGTTAGATCTATTGGAAAAACAATATTTTGCAAAATGTCCAATCTTGTGACATATTTTACACCTTACTCCTGACGCAGGACATTTGAAACGGTGATAATGTTGACCACAATGAGTACATTTCTTGTTGTTACCTGTCTTTGGTACCGGACTTTGACTACGTCGACTAGTAAAATTTTTATTTGAGTTAATTCTGTTTTTACTCGTAGACTGTTTGTTTGACTGTGACTTTGTATATGACTGTGATATGTGTAAAACAGTATCAGAATGTTGAGAATTTTCCATTGTTTGTGCATTTTGTTGTGCCATAATGACAGTTTTGGCAATAGATATAGCTTTTTCAAGTTTTAAGTCAGTCTCTTGCAATAATCTTTGTCGAACATGTGTTAATCTAGAACTCATATTAGCTATAAAAATATCTTTAATTAGTGATTCTTTCAGTGTACCAAATTCACATTTATTTCCAATATTTTGTAAGTCCGTAAGAAATGCGTCGATTCCCTCTTCGGGTTTCTGCATTCTCGTAAAAAAGGAATGTCTGATAATAGTTAAGTTCTTCTGAGGCTCAAAATAGTTGTCGAATTTAGTTTTTATATCTTTTAAAGTAATTTTGTTTATGTCTATATTGAAAGAATTATAAATTTCTATACCTTTTTCTCCAATTGTGTGTAACATAATTGCTATTTTCCTTTTCTCAGGTGCTTCTTCCAAACCCGTAGCAAGAAGAAAAAGCTCGAAATATTGCCACCATTTCTTCCAATTAGAATTGTTATTTTGATTCGTTGCAATGTTTAATTTCGGTATATTACTAAAGTTATAACTTTGAGAACATGCTTCCACGTTTTGCTTTATAGACGTCGACATTTTGAAGATTCAATTTTATAACAATTGACTTTGAGATGATGTGAAATATATATATTCTTCACTTTGTTGCGACTTCTGACACCATGTTTTATGATGCTAGGTTAATAAATATACTTGATCGACTTGATATGACTTTATTATTTTTAGACAGTTTTGACTCAAAGACGTGACTCGACATTACAATACAATGATTCAGACCAGAGAGCTAGACAAGGCATAGACAATAGTTACAATCATAGAGTTCTTAACATAGACATAATAAAATAGATTATAGATATACAACAAATATATGTGTAGCTTTGACATAATAGCCTTTATATACTACAATTAGTGACTCACTCGCTTCGCTCGGATTTGTTTTAACCTTTAGTATAGATTTCTCAGAGACGAGATATTTTCACGCATTAAAAAGTATCTTATATGTTGATCCGGATACCCAGTTTTCATCATACCAAATTTCATGAAAATTAGTCCAGTGGTTTTCTCGTCATGCGTTCCCAGATAGACAGACGGACAAAAATTCTAAAACTATAGATTCCGCCTCTGTATCGATAATAATGACTATTTCAATAAGATTTTCCAAAAAATAATAAATTAATTAGTGTACAGATTCGACTCAGAATTTTATTATATGTATAGATAGATGTACATATGCATAGCTAGTATACATAGAAAGTTAATTTCTAATCATGAATTCGATATGAAATCTAATAATAGGCTATAATTATAATATGAATAATATAAATTAGACTAACATCGGTCAAGTTAATTAAATTATTATATTATCGTTTAGTACGGTAATAGTAAGTGCTTTTATGGATTTTGTGAAAGAATATGTAGATTCGATTTCAATTATTTTATTTAAAGGCTAATAATCTTATCTACATATGTATACTAATATTATAAAGATCAAAGATTTGTTTTTTGTTTGTTTGTTTGTACCGAATAGGCTCCGAAACTACACTGATTTGGTTGAAATTTGATAATAAGATAGTTTGAGACCCTGGAAAGGATATAGGATAGTTTTTATCCTGAAAATCATCCCTTAAGAGGCTGAAAATGGGAATGCAAGTTTGTATAGAGAATCAATCTAGGGACAAACCCGAGCGAAGCGAGGGTGAGTCGATAGTTATTACATAAAATATTCTTTTCTACAAAGACAAAAAAAATATATCCCACGGGAATCGTACACTTTTCTAGGATAAAAAGTAGCCTATGTACTATTCCAGAATATAATTTATCTCTGTGCCAAATTTCATCCAGATCCGTTTGGTGGTTCTGGCGTGATTGAATAACTTTTTAATAAAAACTATATAATATTCGGATTGAAAGACATCGAGAATGCTTTACAGCAATCATCTTTGGGGAGAGTTCAAAAAAATAATAAAAAAATAAATAAATAAACAAATATCTGCGAAAAATATCTATAATTTTTTTATGTAATATAAATAATTAATTATAATTATAGAAACCTTTTATGGGCTTGCCGATGCTCATTGAACTGTGAGACCATTAAAGGTGCTTTTAGTTTTACCATGAGGTTTCACCAGTACTGGGTCTCATCCAGTATTCGGTAGGACTTCCGTATTTTAGCCATATGTTATACCTAAAGCCTTCGTTCTAATTAAGAGACATGGCATGAGACAAACGAGTTTTATATGTTTTTGTCGAGAACATATAGAGTTACTTTGAGTTACATATTATACTCCTCTTCATAATAGAGCATGTAAGTCTGTTTGTCATTTGATGGTACAATTATATCTCCTAGAATCGATACGACGTGTCACAGAACTACGTATGCTAGGAAATAGAATGTCAGGTGCACAGGGGCTTTCTGATACAACATACACACTCTTATTAAATTCCTAACTATGCCGTTTTGATATTAGACTTTACAAACAGACGATGTCAATGTCATCGTCCAACATAAACGATGTTCGAATAGATTAATTTCAAAACGGAATATGGTAACGCGCTCGCTTGTGAAACCGAGTGAAGCGGGTTGAAATCCAGGTCTCGCATCTCTGATAATAATTTAATGTGCGAATCATTTTCAACACTATCACCACTTGTCTTACGGTGAAGGAAAAGATCGTGAGGAAACCTGCATGTCTGAGAGAAGTTTTCGAAAGACATGTGAAATCCGCCCACACTTGACCAGCGTGATGGACTATGGCCTGATCCCCCTCGTATTGAAGGGGGACCCGTGCCCAGCAGTTGGACGTTAAAAAGGGCTGAGTACATACATTTATTAATTACACATATTATTATTCTAAAATATTTTTTTTCTAATATTTGAACTATACCGTAGAATCTAAATAGGGATGTGACGTTAAAATAAAATTCATCATAGGAAACGACTTAGATTTATTATTAAATTAATTACAAATTTAACAATAAGTATAAATTAGTTTCTATATCCACACTATGTACAATGAAATTAATTATTGCTATGAAAATGAGTTACAAAATACAAATAAAACTTAATAAAATTTTATATAATGCACAAAATTTTATGATTTTTCGTGGACCTCCTTATTCTGTTAGAGAGAAAAAAAAAATCATCACATCAATTTTTCCATCTGTTCGTAAATCACTTGATATATAAAAAATAAATGTACGAGTCATAAGTTACTAGTGTTTCCCCGAAGGTTTGCTCGTGTAGTTTATTTAATTTATTGCTCGCTGTTAACTATCATATCATCCCTTATTTTTCAATAATCGTCATTATTAATAAGGAAATAATTAATAAATTTAAAAATAACGGTTTTTCTTATATTTTTCTAATCCATTTTTTACCCTTTTCTTGAACTTTCATGGCAATTATATTTTGAATTATTGCCAGCACCTATTTTAAATACAAATGCTGAGACCTCTCTTGGAAGTTGTAGAAAGGTAAAAAGCTTACCAAAATAAGAGCAAAGTAAAGGAAAAGGATCTTGGTATAAATGTGAGAATTAAAAGAAGCATAATCAGCGAGTATCATAGTTTAAAAAGTTTTGGTGAAGTATCAGTAGCAATAAAGATAGGGACTGAAGTTTCTGTCACTATTATTGTGAAATTTGGTTATCTTGAAACTTTATAATTGAGGAAATGAAGGTTTTAAAGTTATTTGAAGTCAAGAATGAATATAACTGCCATTGCAACTGTTTGTTACTAGTTTGATTTCTGGATGAGGCATATATACGTGGTACATTGTACCGTACGCACTCTTTAGGTAATTTAAAGGCACGATGTTATCTTACTGGTATGCTGCCTCTGACCTCTGGTTTGAATCCCGTCTGAGACAAATATTTGTATAGTGATAAAGGCGAAAACTTGTATGTATGTATGTTTGTTATTTTTTTTACGGTGAAACAGGATGAAACTTTTAGGCACCTAGGAACGTGAAGAACGCTCCCAAGTGAAGCAACTTACTATTATATCAATATTACAGAGATTTTTGTGTATGTGTGTTTAGTGTATGTTTCAAGGACTTCAAATTCTAATCAGTACGTAGCTACTGTGTTTATATACTAATTTTTCATTTACTGAATCGTTATCTTTATTACTTCTGATGTGCAAAAGTTTTCAAAGAGAAATTTTCATTTGTTCAAACTTCAAGCTCCCTTGGAAATTCAGAAATTGTTTGAACCGAGCAATTATAGTGGCATTTGTTTGGAAAAACAATGTCGGGTTCGTTTATTTTCAATGTGAATAAAAAATATTGTACAGCTTTGTTGTGAAACCAAATAATTTGGCATCTCATAATATCCCAGTTATAGAAAATATTTGTTATTAAATGACTATTCTATGCTACTAGAAGTCTCTGGGCTATTTTTAATACCATAGATAGCAAAAATGCGTACAACCTGCATGGTAAGAAATGATTTATGTCTGGAACACGTAATAAGTATATCAGAAACATGAATAAACAATACACATTGATTTCTTAAAGAAATCGAACCCGAACCTCTTGCTTAGATGAAAATGCCAGTCAGATGCATAATCCCAGACAGACCAACGACTTTCTTAGTATGTAAAGTCCATAGTTTGGCAAAGTTAAGGCAGTGGTAGCCCAGTGGTAACAGGCTCGTTTGGGTAAGCGAGTGAAACGGGTTCAAATCCCGTGTTTGTCTGATATTTTTATGCGTGAATGATTTCCAATTGACACCAATTATTTATCCAACATGATTATTACTTATTTTACGGTAAAGAGAAAATGTAGAAAGTTTTCGAAGACATGTGAAGTCCGCCCACTCGTACTCAGCGTGATGGATTATGGCCTGATCCCCTGGCCTGGCCTGGTATTGAAGGGAGGCCCGTGTCCAGAAGTGGGATGTTAAAAGGGCTGAATACAAAGTCCATAGGTGTAGCAGGTAGTGTTAGAAGCTTATTAGGTTTGAAAATATTTACTTTTTAAATAACTGAAAAAGTGTAAGTAAAGGTGGAACAAATACTTTTTTTTCAAACTGATAATATTTTTTTATTAGAAAGCTATTAGTCCTGGACAGGTCCACGAAAAAACGTCTTAACAGAGATAAATAAACTGACATACTCGTCATATGTGAACAGTAGCTTTCAGCCATTCGAACGTGCTTTATAAAACTTTCATTGGCTTCTCTCTTCAAATTAAAAAAAAATTGTTTATATATCTAAAATTACAAAAATTCTTTTATTTAACCCACAGTTAGTGTAGTGTTATTAATTAAATCGATAACAGTTGTTTTGACAATTTTATATGTACGGATACAATGATATATAAAAACTCAAGATACAAAATTACCGTCTCAAAAGTGCCCTCAAAAAAAAACCCACAATTCAAAATTGTGGGCTTATTTCAAATCTCTTTTGTTCATTGCTTTTCGGATGACAAAATTAAAGCGCACGTTGTTTCGTTTATAAAAGTACTTTTTGTGGTGTGCGTAAGTTCTAATTTGTATTTAAACTGTAATTAGACCTTTCGATTTTTGAATTTTATTCTTTGACTAGCATTGCCCATGGCTCTGCCCGCGTTCACATGACCAAAAACCAAATTCTTAGGTTTTACAAATTAGTATACTCTTACATTGCAGTTTTTGTATTTTTTCAGAAATTAGATATTTTTCCGCGGTAAAAAGTATCCTATATGTTGACCCGGATAACCAGTTATCATCATACCAAATTTCATTAAAATCCCTCCAGTGGTTTTTCCGTGACGCAGTAACAGACAGACAGACAGACAGATACACAGACAGACAAAAATTCTAAAAACTATTGATTCGGCCTCTGTATCGAAAATAATGTCTATTTCAATAAGATTTTCCAAAAAATATTTAATGAACAGACTCGGCTTAGTTAAAATTTTATTATATGTATAGATTTAACTTGACGTCACATGTCGACGCCACTTTGTGAAGAGACATTTGTTAGGTAATATGCATCTATATTTTTATATATCAATGGTTACAATTATTAATATATTTTTTAACCTCCGATTCACAGAGCAGTACTTGCTTTTGTTTTTTGCGTAGAAATCGTTTGAACGAAATATTTTTGACAGAGAGATATTATGATGGACATTTTGTTAGTTAAAGTTTAATACACATTTTTGCAGCCTTGTTGAGATTTAAGGTTTGCTAGCTATTTTTTCATCTTGACATTTTCCTTTTGAGAGTTGTCATAATATATTCAAGTTTTCATTTTTTTTTATTATAACGGAAGTATTATTAATAATATACAATAAATGATTTTAATTTCTTTTTTATATTTATAACACCTTTTAAAAATGTCATGGAAGACTTTAATGTTGATTTAAAATCAATATAATAAATATATAATACACAGAAAAATTGCGAAAATGACTAAAACTTATATCTATTTTTGAAAAAATATGAAAAAAGCATCTTAATATCTTAAGACTAGTATTTGCCTGCGATTTCGTACACTGTAAAATATTATTTTGTTTCACAATTCTTTAGGGTTGCCAGTTCAAAATTGACTTATTTATAATAATTATTTGAATTATATTATTAGGAAACTAATTTGAAATTAATATTAAGTAAACTATAAAATTATGGCTAAAAATTGATTCATTTAGTGGGCAACCCCAATATCATTTACGTTTTTAAAAACATTCTCTTAATTATATAATGTATAGTAGTAGGCTTTCGATTAGTTTTGTAAAACGCTATTTTATATAATATTATTCAATGAACACATCTTATTATTTTCAGTTATTTAAAATAATTGCTAAAAATGATAGCTGTTTTTTAGATATAGCAATACAATTTATTCTTTTATGTACACTCAAAACACAAAGAAAAATCCAATAAAGCTATACAAAATCGAAACCCATAACCTTTTACTTATACTATAACATAATATTTCAATGTACAGACAAGCCCTTTTGACTATGTGTTATTAGTGACATTTTCGTTATCTAGGCGGCTCAATATCCGCTTTAACTATAAATCTCTTACTTCTACACGGAGAATCATCCACACCATAAAAACAAACACTTCTTTGAGGATAAATCCTAAAATCTACACTTGAACCTATATTTCTTGGCAGTGTTTTCGCTTTAAAATCACTTTTGAGGCAATAGTCATATATAAGTTTTGGCCCTTCGTCAAAGTGTTGGCTGTAATAGCCTTCACAGCTGTCAAATGATACACTTTTGGATAAATCACAACAGTTTTGTGGTTGATAGGAACCTTCTGGGCAGGTTCTAGGTTCACGAGGGGCCTGGTAGGGGGGAGTCGGGGCCCAAGGAGGGGGCCCCGAAGGTCATCCTCAGCGAATCGGCTTGGATACGATGATGACATCAGGTGCTGATCGAGTAGTTTCTGTACTCATCGGACGTCGGTCGGGAAACTTCTTTTCTGTAGGACAAAAAGGTTATTAAATTTAATAAATGATTGTCAAAATGTTAAAAAGCAAAACCTCATAAATACAAAATTTAATCCAAATCGTTAGAGCCATTTCCCGATATATATAAATACAAGAATTGTTCAAATCAAATATTCTTCATTGCACACCAAAAAATTTACATGACATAAATATATATTATAAAGTAATAGCACATCAGGAGGTCTTCTCGATAAGTGAGTAATCTCATCCAGGCAAACTTTCATATTATAAGATTTTGAGTATTTTTCTCTAATTTTATATTCATCCTTTACAGAAGCAAGGAATCGACCGCTTTATTTTCTAACATATGTACATATAGCTTACAGGCATACATAAAGGCAGTGGTAGCCCAGTGGTAACGCGCTCGCTTGGGAAACCGAGTGATGCGGGTTCAAATCCCGGGTCTCGCACCTCTGATATTTTCATGTGCGAATCATTTCTAGCATGATTACCACTTGCCTTACGGTAAAGGAAAACATCGTGAGGAAACCTGCATGTCTGAGAAAACTTAACAAGTTTTCAAAAGACGTGTGAAGTCCGCCAAACCGCACTTGAGCGTGGTGGACTATAGCCTGATACCACCCGTATTGAAGGAAGGCCCACCCCCAGCAGTGGGACGTTAAAAAGGGCTGAATACATTTAGCTTAGTAGAGTCAGTAATACACTTTTTTATTCTAATACCTAAAGTCTTGTAAACCGAAGGGAAAGTAACTCAGTATTTCTAGTTTCATTCACAAAATCACAAAAACTCTTCTTTCTTGGTGGTTAATTTTTCCAAATAGCAAAGAACGGCAAAGATGTTATCTTTAAAGAAAATAGAAGTATTTAAGTGGTTTAAGTTTTTAGTTGTTTTATATCGAAGCGATATTAATTTTTATCTCGTGATGATCAGAGAGTGAAGGTTGCAGATTAAGAGCTCTTCTTTTCTTGAAACTTTGTGTAATAGCATATACTGTATACTGTATAGTGATATTAATACTGATATTAATGACGACACGTTTGGCTCAGTTTGTAGTGACCCTACTTACTGTGCCAGCGATCGCGGGTTCGAGTCCCGCTGGGGACATTCATTTGTGTGATGAGCACTAATGTTTGTACTCCAGTAATGGAAGTTTATATAAAAAAAAAAAAATAAAAAAAATAAAAATAAAAAATAAAAATAAAAAGTAAAAAAATAAAAAAAATAAAAAGTAAAAATATATTTATAATATGTTTGTATTTAAAGTTATATATATGTAGTGCATCAACTATCTGGTATCCATAACATAAGCCTCGTAGCTTACCGTGAAACTAGATGGTGCTCTGTATTAATATAATATATTAAGATAATTCTTTAAATTAACATAACTTTTTTATTTATGAACCGATTATAATAAAAAAATATAAATACTAAATGTTCAGTGAAGCTTATCATAATACATTAGTGAAAACCTAAATCGGTTAAGCGGTTTCTGAGATTAGGACACACAAACGCACAGACAAACAGACAAAATGTCTAAAAATCATTGTTTTGGGTTCTATTGCGTTATTGAAGACATCTCCAATAATAGTTTTTCTCAAATATCTTCCATGTACAAGCAGCGATCAGTTACATTTTTATGATATTACGTGTACATAGATTTATATTTATTATCTGTAAAGTAAAGCTTAGCTATATAATCATAAAATTATCATAACATTCTGTCTCTTTCCCTAGGTTACTTTTAATCCTCTATCCGGCAGTAAAAGTCTTACAAAAAGTGATCAACTCTTATACCAGTTACTGCGTAAAGTCTTCCTAAACCATATAAGCTCTTCAAGTAAAGTAGCGCTCAAGAGATAGTATTACTAACAGCCGTTCCTTAAACAATATGGGTCAATTTCGCTGGACGTGACAAGAACAGATATCGGCGTGAAAGAATTCCAAAATATGTAAATTTCATATAAAAAATTCTGAACACAGCGTGATTCAAACCTGCACCCCTTTGTATCGTGCGTTGGGTGTCAATTACCAGTTAGCTTCCCGTTGTTGTAATATTTTTGATATGAATATAGCATAGCTCATAAAAAAGTACGTTAAAGCTGAATAAAATATATATTAAATCCTAAATTCCGACCTGAATCAGTAGATACTTATTATAAATACGAAAGATTATAAGTATGTTTGTTTGTTTATTATTCCCGCTGAAATGAATGAATGAAAAAAATGAATACTAGGCTACACAAATTTAGATGAAATTTATTTATTACCTATACAAGTAGACTATGACCCAAGTGAGGGTAAGTCGTTAGTATATCTATAGCTATACAGATAAATAAAATAGAAGTGTCTGTTTATAATTACAAAATAACATTTTACTAAATGCATATAAAATTATATACGGTACTTATAAAAAAAACACAATTTTTAAAAAAATTGTCTGTTTGTCTGTCTGCTTGCTCAGGCTAATTTCTGAAACGACTGAACTGATTTTGACGGGACTTGCACTGGCAGTGACACAGCTGATGTTATATGGAGTAACTTAGGCTACTTTTATTTTAGAATAAGAATTAGGGTCTCGTTCAAAAAAATGAAAACATACCTAGGGACGAAGTTAAAGCGCTAATAACTAAAGAAAATGATATTTAACTAGGCTACCACAACTATCAATCGATAATTGTCCCGAGACCAATGTCCATGTTTGATACTGAATTACATTTTGGTCGAAGTAATAGTCTTCTATTGGTCGCATAATTTGTAGATTGCAGATAGCTACTGATAGCAGAATAGACCGTAAAAGAAATTCTGTTTCTCTGCTTCGGCAGGCCCTTTTCTAGCCAGTAAATTACCACATAACCACTTGTTGTACACATGCTATGAATTATCAATGTAAAAAAATAAAAAGAAGCTCGTTTGAGAGTACTTACGTGGTTTATCTTCCTGCTCTGTGGCTTGCCTCAACAACTCTATCGTTATTTGAGAAGTGTTGGTTTGTGGCGGCGACGGTCTTACTATAGTAGCTCCAGAATAACCAAAAGTCGAAAAACCTCTGCTGTTTGTTGTTCCTGATCCTAAAATAGAAGAAAGTTATTAGTTATTTTCTTTACTTTCTCACGTATTGGATCATTACAATTGTGAAAATCTGTATGTTTGTTACTCGTTCACGTTATAACGGCTGGACGGATTTGGATGAATTTTATAGGGAAATATTATTTATAAAGAAATATATTACGTTTTAACGAATAGTATATATTAATCAGAGATGAGATATTTTTCCGCAGTAAAAAATATCCTATATGTTGACCCGGATAGCATCATACCAAATTTCATCTAAATCTGTCCAGTGGTTTTCTCGTGATGCAGTCACAGACAGACAGGGTTTTATTATATGTATAGATATAGACAATAACTGATCTGGAGTAACACAGGATATTGTTGTGCATATTTAAAACGTTAAAATACTTCATTTAAAAGAAAAGAAAGTATATATTTAATTACAAACACAAATGCTCACCTAATTATTACTGTATAAGTTATGTTTGCATGGAATTTTGGCAACAATGTTGCACTCCACTGTTGAATGGTAATGTAATGTGTGTAATGTAATGTTCTTTGGGCGAAAAACGAACCTCCTGTCAGCAGTATAGGCGACTAGCATACTACATATATATATATATATATATATATCTTTAAATAGATACATATTATAAATATAAACACCCATGACTGGAGTACACACATTCGTGCTCATCACATAAATGAATGCCCCCAGTGGGACTCGAACCCGCGACCGCTGGCACAGCAAATACGGTCACTATAGACTGAGCCAAACGTGTCGTCAACTGAGGTTAGCAATAAAATACGTAAAGGTGGTACTGTACAATGTACCTGATATAATATTATAATTACAAAAGGAACCAAGGCAACCCAACGAAGAGACAGTAAGTCTGAAGTAAAATATGAAGTATCTAATAAATATTTGAATAATTTATTTAATTTGGGTCAAGTTTTGTTTAAAATCTCTATTAAAACCACCCTTAAAATTACCCTTTTGATACAATTTCTTTGAAAGCGTACTTAACAGGGCTCTAACCCATTCAAAATAAATCAATAAATTCTAATTACGCGTATTCATTGATAATAAAATGTTATTAATTTTAACGATGCGCACAAAATACTCGTAGGCTTTCGATACGCGATGTTTCTGTATAAACATCTTTTACGGTATATTTGGCAATATTTTTTAAAGCCCATCTAATGACGGTGGATCTAATTTAATTACTTTGAATTAAGTAAATATAATCATTTAAATATATATTTATTTTAAAGAAGTTGTGTGGTAACACTCGCTTAGACAACCAAGTGATGCGGGTTCAAATTCCTGATATTTTCATATGTGACATGAAGTGCTTGTCTTACAGTAAATAAATAAAATAAATAAATAAATATGTTGGGCACACAGCACCATCTAGTTCCATAGTAAGCTACGAAGCTTGTGTTATGGATACAAGATACTTGATACACTACACATATATAACTTTAAATACATACATATTATTAATATAAATAAACACCCATGACTGGAGTACAAACATTCGTGCTCATCACTCAAATGTATGCCCCCAGCGGGACTCGAACCCGCGACCGCTGGCTCAGCAAGTAGGGTCATGTGAAGAAAAATATGGATAAACCAGTCTATAAGAACCTAGCTAGATTTCTAAAGTCACACGAAGTCCGCCAAAGCCACGGTGGACTATGGTCTGATCAAACTTTCAATCGAATGCGATGCATAGGATGCATAGGGATTTCAAAGAAGACTGGTGGACAATTAATTAGATATATCGATTCAAATTTCCCTTTCATTTAATATTTTTTGATGAATTTCAAGGACAAAACTATCGTTTTTAACATTTTATTTCAATTCGGAGTGTGGTAAAATTCGGTTAAATTTAAACTCGGTGAATTATTCGAGTCAGATATGGTACGTTGGAAGGCTGGAGCGAGAGTTAGCTGAATCATTAAGCTTATGAATAAAAATGGAAAAAATTGAAAATAAATGGAGCTTTTTTGAGTTTCGACCTCAAAAAATAAATTTGTGGGTATTTTTACTATAATATTCATGGTTCGTAGCAGATTAAAATGCATCGGTAAATTAAATCCTTGGTATGAGCTTTCGGATTTTTATCAGTAAATATTTAAAATATTGTAGAAATTATCGCGTTAGGATTCGGACAGTGATCGGATATTACATTATCTACACTTTTAATCTAATATTAAAAATCGGTCAAGTGCGAGTCGGACTCGCAAACGAACGGTTCCGTACCATAGTCATTTTTTTAATGTGCACGACAACCTTTTTTGAAAGTCGCCACCTTAGATTTTTATTATTTTTTGTTATAGTGAAATACTCTGTGAAACTTTCAACTCTCTACCTATTACGGTGTATGAAATACAGCCTTCTGACAGACGGACGTACGGACAGCGGAGTTTTAGGGTTCCGTTGACATCTTTCGGGTACGGAACCCTAAAAAGAGGTAAAGTTTGTAAGTTTGTATGTAGAGGGTAATCTCTGAAACTACTGATGCAATTCAAAAAATTCGTTGAATGTGAATTGTGAAATCTAAATGTGAATTGTTATCAGAAATTATAACTAGCCGGTCAGTTGCTATATCGGCGTGTTTTGCATAAGTTTAAAATAAAACAATTAAATGAAGGCGATCAGTTCAAGATTAAAAATTATTGGTTTTATAATATTTTTAGAAACAAATTAGATGTTAAACGCAGTCTATCTACATATACTTATGTAAAATTTAAGATCAGTAAAACGGGTAGTAAGCTTGCTCATTAAGCGTATGAAGAAAAATTTTATAATTAAAGATAAATTTTAAATGAAAATTAATGGTTTTGGTTGATTTCTGTTTTTAATTCACTTTTACCTTTAAATGATTTTACATACCCTGTGCATGTACTGTAAATTGTAAATAGTTTAAGAAATATTAATATGAATGAATGAATGAACGAATGAATGAATGAATGAATGAATAAATAAATAAATGTTTTTTTTTTGATTTATAATAAATGGGTCTTTAAATTTTCATGGTCACTGACAATATTATTCTGATGTAATTCAATTCTTTGTTATTAGGTTTTTAGGCGTTCCAGTTGGGCACAGATTATTTCACCAATGTCGTGTAGAATAAAGAAGATACGGTGGAGATAAGTTATTGACCTATTAAAAATAGATATTCATACTGAGGTCATCATTCAAGCAAAGTCAGTAGTACCCATGACCATGGGTTGGGCACATATGGCTTGTAACAGTACCGAAATATCGGGAATTCACAAAAGTGCTAAACATGGTACATATATCGTTGTATGAAATAACAAGTAAATCGGAGCTTTGGCTTTTGGATATATAAAGCTTGAAATATTGTAGAAATTCCCATTAGAACATCGAGAAATGAAGAGATCGATGTTATGTTATTATTCAAAATTATGCAAAATATAAATGGTCAAATAGAACGACTATCTTATAGTTGGTGACTGATCTGGAAGAAGTCACCTTCCATGTTTAGTACTAGCAATTAAAATTTTGTTTGTCTATCTGTTTTATTTTACAAAGCTCGAAAACATCTTGACTTATCACATTATTTGTACAGTAAACCAATATCTGAGTATATAAAGCTGACATTTTTAATATATTGAGTTACATACAAAATACAAAACTGTATAACAAATAGTATTAGAGAAATGGGAATGTTTCATATTATTTGGAAAGACAAAAACTCCAATAAAATTGATAAAACAAATCTCATGGTAACTCAACGGGTTTCCCTCGAGATAAAGAGGGAGAATCGTCAGGCGAATTTTATTATATCTTCGCACTGGTCGTAAAAGTATATAACCGAAGTATATGCTTTTATGCTGTTTTAAATATACTTTTATTTTTCTAGCGGTAAAATAGATTTTTTTGTTCTATTTGTGTTTTGAGTGTTTATGTTTGAGTGTGTGTATGTATATATGTGTACTTCTTTAGCTTTTTATTGCCTTAAAGGCTTAGCCGATTTTAATTCTATTAGTTTATATAATTTTTAAATGTTGCACAGCAATAAAAAAAACAATACTTATAAAATATTTGTTTTTTTTTGTTTGTCACGAACTTTAACAAAATAACTATATTTTTCAGTTGGGTTTCTGTACTTTAGTACTTTTACTGTTTGTTTTAAAGACAGAAAACTAAGTCTTTACGTCAGCCATGATCGTGTATAGTTCGGTAGTGGATATATACTTTGTGATATACATGTCTATACTAATATTATAAAGAGGTAAAGTTTGTGAGTTTGTGACGTTGTAGGGGCTAACCTCTGGATCTACTGAACCAATTTAGATGAAATTTGGTAAGAAGATTGTTTAAGACCCTGGAAAGGACATAGGATTCTTTATATCCCGGAAATCATCCTTTAACACACAGCACCATCTAGTTCCATGGTAAGCTACGAGTACATATATAACTTCAAATGATATTATAAATATACTAATATTATAAATATAAGCACCTTTGACTGGTGTACAAACATTCGTGCTCATTACACAAACGAATGCCTCCAGCGGGACTCGAACCCGCGACCGCTGGCTCAGCAAGTAGGGTCACTACAAACTAAGTCAAACTACTATTACGAGTACGAGACCTATATGAAAAAAGAAACTAAACAAAATAAGTATATTTCTAAACAAAAAATAAAAGAAGCATTACTCCTGCAATGTGAATTTCCTTCGAGCTATAGATAAAGTTATCGATTTCACTGGAATCGCATTCAACGCCTATGTTTATTTTCATTCGATAGTCGCTATCGAGCTTGTAAATTTTTGATTCCAGCCATATTTACCGCCCTTCTAAAGTCGTAAACATTATCTTGTCTTTGGTAAATTACATTTTAAGTTTTAACAGTTAGTATAGATTTCTCAGAGATGAGATATTTTCCCGCAGTAAAAAGTATCCTGTATGTTACAGCATCACGAAAAAACCACTGGACAGATTTTGATAAAATTTGTTATGATGATAGCTGGTTATTCGGATCAACATACTTTTTACTGCGGTAAAATATCTCATTTCTGAGAAAAAATACAAAACTGCATTGTAAGAGTATACTAATATGTAAAACCTAAGAGTTTGGTTTTTGGTCATCTGATTGCGGGCGGAGCCGCGGGCAATGCTAGTAACATATATAATAGATATTATTAAAAATCAAAATGGCCGATTTCAGGCGCTTATTTTTGTCTTTAAAAAATTTGCTTCTTCCAAACCAAAAAAAAATATTACATACATATCTCTGTCTCCGACAGCATAATACTAAAATCTTCATTTACTCGTTCGCTTCTATTTAGATCGCTTCCTTATAGGATATTTTTTTTCGATACACATCAACCACATGAACGTAGTCACAGGCAAAAACTAGTTTAAAACAAAGCTAAATAACCACAACGAGAGAGATTTTACTTTAAAATTTATTAAAAGAAATATATGCAGCTGTTATTCTTTTATATAAAAATCATAGTTATAATACAGCTTTATAATAATACTGCAGTGAAAATAAACATTTCTATTTCGTATCTCCCTGTATAGTCGAGAGCTCTTGAAGAGATTTTATTTATCATTATTCATTTCTTGATCCCAAAAAGTTAAAATTTAAAGTAGTTCTTGACATTTTAAAATAAAAAAATAACGGAAAATGTTGCAAGAATTTAATAATACAGCTATCAATTAAATGATTTGTTGGACGATTTTTTGTTTATCAAAAATAACCTTATGGTTAAAAGTAACCTATTACATTGCACCTTATACATATTTATTAAGAACCTTTTGACGTATAGTATGAAATAGATAGACTTAATACACATAGGTGTGATGGGTTTTACATCTCTTACTTGAGAAATGATTGATTCCCCATACAAACTTCCAGGCCCCTTTTCGCCCCCTTAAGGGAAGATTTCGACGATAAAAACTATACTATGTCCTTCCCAGGGCTAGGCTATCTCGATACCAAATTTCATCTAAATCGGGTCAGCGGATTAAGCGTGAAAGGTAACAGACAGACAGACAGACAGACAAAGTTACTTTCGCATTTATAATATTAGTATAGATGTCACAGATTATATGTATGTTTGTTATTTAACTATTATTAAACTATTGACCAGATATACTGTGGATCCCAATAATCTATCTGTGATTTTGCTTACGAACGATATATATTTGATATTGGCCACATACAAATGATGTAAAATTCCTATATTTATACAAAATTCAAAATATTTTATTCAGCATTAAATTATTACATTTTTTTACTGAACGTCATGAGTCTACTACCAGTTCGGAAAGAAGAAGCCTCAGACGTGAGAAGAACTAGCGAACGAAACTCAGCGGGACTAATATTAGCTTGTTATCTTTTTTTAGAAGTAAAACTATAATTTACAATATTTCTATCAAGATAATTATTTAATAAGAGCTACAGATTGATAGTTGATGGGGATTCATCGTTTCAACTTGGCATATATTATGTCATAGCTGACATCCTCCAGTACCTCATGGGACTCATATAATACTTTCTTGGAAGGAATAATCATAAATCAAAATCAAATAATTTTTCGGATAGGTATTTTCGCGGATTTATTTTGATTTTTGGTTTCCGACGTTTTGAATGCAATCGTGGTCATAGGAGTGACTCTAAACATCGGGAACCAAAAAACCTATATGATCCGTGGGATGAAAGTAAATTCCACAGATAGAAACCATGAGGTTCTCTTGATAACACAACTGTTTTGAAGTGAACGCTACAGGAGAATTTTTTGCTAATTTTATAAATTGCAAGAGTGTTTTTACCATGTATACTGTTATGTGGATTTTATGTACTCTACGTTGTTCGAATTTTATCTTTATTGATAGTTAGTTTCTCTTGCGACGTATAAATTTTAATATTTTTGTTGTTTATTTTAAATAAAACTAAATCTTTTCGTTTTTTTACTGTCTGTAACAATCATTATACAATAATCTTTGAGACGTCTAAAACCTTAGTCTCTCCCGTGACCATGACTGCTGTAAAGCATTTGTAACGTTGGTATACATATTATAAATATAAATAACCATGACTGCAGTACAAACATTCGTGTTCATCACACAAATGAATGCCCCCAGCGGGACTCGAGCCCGCGACCGCTGCCACAGCAAGTAAGATCACTACAAAATGTGCCAAACGTGTCGTCATTCTTTGCAAAAAGTTGTGCGTAATCCATAACACTAGATATAATTATATCTAACTTCTAAAATACCTAGATTCAATGGCTTTAATATCTAAATATTTAGGAACTTTTTTAATACAAATAAAGAAATTAGACACTTTAAATAAATCGTAACAAAACGCGACGTTGTTGAAACATAATACGAGTATGTCATTCTAATATTTTTTTAGATTTCTATAATTCAAAGATTGTATAATGACATCATATCGCATGTTTATCAAACTATGGTAAAACTAGCTCATTACTTACCATCTGAACTAATGGCTGGATCCGTTTGGAACAAACTCTCTCTTGTCTGGCAACCAGATTCCTTCGTATCTGGAGCTCCAACAGACACATCCCTAATTTGTTTTTTCTCCACACTCTCAGTTTTTGCCCTCATTAATTCTTCTTTCTTACTTAAATCACTTCTTCTTGTTCTTCCATTACGTTCTATTCTAACATCTTCCGAGTCTGGGACGGAGTTCACGTCACGTCGCCATGGTTCATCGTCAAGATCGAGATGGGTTTCTTGGATAAAATCGGAGTCGATACTTGTTGGCTGAAATTGATGAAGTTTTGTTTTATTACTTTATACCTAAAAAGGTGTAAAATCAATTTTAAAATAAGACTAGATTAGTATTCGCTTAATGGTCGAAAAGCGACCATATCATTTTTATTGATAACACTAAAGCTTGTTGATAGCTACTGCAAAAAAAACAGAAAATCGGTTGACAAACAGAGGAGATGGACTGTTTTGAATTTGCCTACTTTTATATAAATTTATATGGAACTAGCGACTTATTCTCGCTGCGGTCGGGTTTATCCCTAGATACGTTTTAACAGTTAGTCTATACTAACCTTTAAAAACCTAATCTTTAAATTTCTCAGAGATGAGATATTTTCCCGGAGAAAAAGTATCCTATATGTGAATCCGGATAATCAGCTATCATAATACCAAATTTCATCAGAATATCTAGTGATTTTCTTATGATGCGTTCCCAGACAGACAGACAGACAAAAAATCTAAAAACTATAGGTTAGGTCTCTGTATCGATAATAACGATTATTTCAATAAGATTTTCCAAAAAATATTTAATGTACAGATTCAACTCAGTTAGAATTTTATTATGTGTAGGTATAGAAAATTACGAGAATTATGCAGTTCGTAATTGGCGAAGATATAGCAAAACATACACATACACACAAAAAATACTCGATTCCCTCTTTTGGAGTCGGTTAAAAATGATTACTGACTGAACTGAATTCTGGAAAGAGATATAAATTACCTTGTACAGTGTAAAATAATATATTAGTGTCTTGGGAACAATAAGTAAATAACATCGCTTTCACTGCTTAATCAATCTTAATAATACCAAGATTTTTTATATTTATAGCACTGTTTAATTTGAATTTTATTTAGCTTTATTATATTTGACTAGCGACTCACTCTCGCTTCGCTCGGGTTCGTCCCTAGCTTGCTTCCCCGTACAAACTTTCATCCCCATTTTCACCCCCTTAAGGGATCATTTCCGGGATAAAAAGTATTCTATGTCCTTCCCAGAGTCTCAAACTATCTTCTTACCAAATTTCATCTAAATCGGTTTAGTAGATCTAGAGATCACCCCCTACAACGTCACAAACTCACAATATCACAAACTTTACCTCTTTATAATATTAGATGAAATTTATTTTAAACTAGTGACTTATTCTTACTTCGTTTAGGTGCAAATTTAGGTACATAATAGAACCTACATATTATGTGTTGGTCCAGGTCATACTCTGTACACTAAATTTCACCCAAATCTGTCCAGCCGTTTCAGAGTGAAGGAGTAACAAACACACATACATACAAATTTTCGCATCACTACATATTATTGTTTTTTTATGTTCGGATATTAGCACACAGCACCATCTAGTTCCATGGGAAGCTACGAGGCTTGTGTTATGGATACCAGATAGTTGATACACTACGCATATGTAACTTTAAATACGTACATAATATAAATATAAACACCCATGATTGGAGTACAAACGTTAGTGCTCATCACACAAATGAATGCCCCCAGGGGAACTCGTACCCGCGACCGCTGGAACAGCAAGTAGGGTCACTACAAACTGAGCCAAACGTGTCGTCGTTATATATTATACAAGAAAGTCCCCCCGTCGCGTTTGTCTGTCTGTCTGAACGCTATAAACTCAATATAGACCGAACAGGTTTTCATATGGTTTTCATTGGTGGAGTGATTCATGAGAAAGTTTGAGGTGTGTAATTCATTAAGGATTTATGGAAATTAGCTGAAATATTATGATGATGATTGTTGAAGATCTCGGTAAAAATCATGCCGACTGGGAGCTGTACAGACGTGTACCGCGTGACCCAATAGAGTTATATGAAAACAATTTATTACGGAATTATCCCACTTCAAAAGTTCTATTAATCCCTCCACGACCGCGGGCACGCCGGTGTTACAGTTAACAATACTTTTCTTAGACATTTAACTTAATTACTTAGAAATTTACCTGGAGGTGTTATACTGTAGCAACTCGATATGTACTTACCTATGGACACACTCGAGCGAAGCGATGGTAAGTCTCTAGCTTATACAGATAAATAAAATAGAGGTGTATGTTTGTAATGTCAAAATAACAGCTTTTTACCAAATGTATATTATGGAATTATATACGGTATATATAAGAAAAACACAATTTCAAAAAAAATGTCTGTCTGAAACGTTTTGGCCGATTTGACGGGACTTTCACTGGCAGGTAGTCGATGTTATAAGAAATAATTTGGGCTACTTTTATTTCAGTAAAAGAATTAGAGTTCCGCTCAAAAAAATTAAAATGTACCTAGGGACGAACCCGAGCGAAGTGAGGGTGAGTAATAAACCCTGTTTATTCCTCCCGCTTGTTTTTATTACCAATCTGACATACATGCGTATGGTTAGAAATGTTTAGCTTATGCGGAAATTGAATTTGCGCACTTCGTCGTATTATGTAATGCGTAGTAGTTTTGCGGACTCAACTGGTTTTTAAGGTTCCGGACCCCAAAGAAATCTTATTGCTAACCCGACGCCATCTGTTCTTATTGTACTATGTTTTAGTTTTAAAGAAATGTACATTTTTTATGGCCAGTTGAGGTTTTTATAGATTACCAATATGTGTTCTAGTACTAGCGATTTAGCCTTGGTTTGCTCGGGTGCCTTTCTAGTTGCCTAACAGTGGTCTATGTGTTACCCCAGATTTTTATCTATTTGTGAAGTAAATTTTAACCAAATTTGTCAAGCTGTTTTGGCATGATAAAGTATCAAACACACATACAAATTTTCTCATTTATAGTAATATTTATACCATATAATTTAATACTAATATGTAAGTAAGAGTTTATTTGTTTGTACATCTATTCTCTGGAGTTACCAGTCCAATTTGAAAAATACTTTACGTTTTATATTTAGAAAGCCTATAGACTATCTTTGGAGGATACTTTAACAATTATATGTACAGAAATACAATACTGCGGGGGAGTCGCGGTCAACTTGTTTGCTTGTTTAGTTGTCACAAACAGTGAATAAATCTAACACAACAAATATATTTTAAAGTTCCGCGAATATAAGTGTTCAAAACTGATTAAGTATCAACCATTAAGGTTTTAAATTGAGATAAAAGGTTCTTAAATACTAAGATGCATAAATCCTACACGAACTTGGTCGATTTCTGTGGTATTTTTTTAGTTTAACTTGCAACTATGTTATCTTAGAAATCTTATCAATATGAGTCTTTGCAATTTTGTGAAATCTGGATGACGATACAATTATTCTATATATATATGGATCTGTTTCATGGTGAAGGCAAAAGTTGTATACTGTATAGTGAACTCCTACAATATAACACCTTCGAGTTTCTGTTCATTTGATGATTTTTTTCCCTATACTCGTACATTAGAATTGGTGAACGTTCTAAAATCCTTATCTATTCTAATCTTTTTCTTACCCGTATTTTTTGCTGAGATAATTTCCTTTGCTGCTTAAACATCTCATTGGTTTGGTTATCTCGATCCAGGCTGGCTCGGGGTTCGCTGTCACGTTGGAGTCTTTTTGCGTCGAGCGTGAGGCGACTAGCTACCATAGTATCCAAACGATCTTCACATGATTGACGTATGTGTTCCTAAAAACATTAAATTTAATTTAATCACATAATATGATCTTGAATTGGCCATCGAACGAAAACATGATCCCATAAGAATAATCTATTATAAATAGTTCTAATTGATCGCTAGCGGATCAGATTTATGTATACACAAACATACATAAATAATGCGCTCAGAACGCTAGTATTAGGTAAAATATAAAATTTTGCCCATTTTTTAATAAAATAAAGATATTTAATATTGATACGGTCACTTTAAAATGTTGTTATTATTTCTAAGGTAACAATTTATAACAAAGTTGTTGGATAGATGCTTCCATACTTAGGTACTGAATAAATTAACCGACTTGGTTTTACATTAAATCTCAAAACTTTTTCCGGTAGAAAAACTACGTTGAGAGACTTGAATTTTTTTACATGTTATGTTTATGATGGTATACTGTAGTCTATTCTATAAAGATAAAAATTGTTTGTTTGTATGTACCTAGGATATAATGTGTATGTATAGATATACGAATGTACGTTTTTTTATGTTTGTAATTGGTACCTATACCGTACCTTATTATTTATTTATTTTTTCTCACACTTAAGGGTAGCTGGAAAAAATCTCTTAAAGAGATAAGTCATCTTTTGTATACACTATACATAATAACTGATTTATTATAAATATATTTTTGTGGTACATGAATAAGTTAATTAACAAACGAATGAATAATAAAATAAATAAAACAAATAAATGAATAAAGTAGGTTTTAAATAAAACTATCTCAAATTTCGATTTCTGGTTCCCGACGTTTCTTCTTTACTTCGACGAGTTCTATTTAAAATGTCAAATATTCGAGTCAATCTAGTATTAGGTGAATAAAGTAGGTGTTTATGGGCCATAATAATACTCATTTCGCTATTCCTCACGAGAAATTAAGGAAATTCAAGTCAAAAATTCTCCAAGGTCATAACAAACAATTGAAACGTATAATTGATTACACCACTTAAATATATTAAAAAGCATCTGGATACTTAATGATAGGCATTAGTGTTATTATCATAAACTACCAAAGACGCTCGGGCGTGTCCCTTGGTGCCTTTTGAATTTATAATGTTATATACAGATAGGGAATATTTTGGCAAATGTTTCTATTAACAATATTCTAGTATGTCACTGTTTTTCTATAAGTATAATACCTAATATTCTAAGTGAGTCGAATCTGTACATTTTTTTTTTGGAAAATCTTATTGAAATAGACATTATTATCGTCAACATCATACAAAATTTCATCAAAATCTGTCCAGTGGTTTCCTCGTGATGTGGTCACAGACAAGCAGACAGACAGACAAAAATCCTAAAAACTATAGATTTGGCCTCTGTGACTATTTGAATAAGATTTTCCAAAAAAATATTCAATGTAGGTATAGATTCCCCTCAAAATTTTATTATATGTATAGACACGCGAAAAAAATTACTATTATACATAAGATGTAAACAATTTTGTGTTCTTAATCTTTTCCTTATTCTCCGTTTAATATTGGTGCGTAGTAGAGAAATACAAAGTTGTCGGCAGCTGTCAACTCAAATAACGTCCCGCGTGGGAATTATCTTCCTCCTCAAACCTACCCTGCCCAAATCCTGCTCTCAATAATACTTGCTATTATTTGCTTTACGTATAGCTTTCCTGTTGTTATAGTTTCTGAATTTTCTTACTATTTGTTTTATCTTTAATCGTAACATTAAGTTTTTGTTACGCTTCAAAATCCCAAAGATATATATCAATATTTGAAAGCTCATAGCTAATATATACCATCAATTATACTTTCTTATATTTACGCGATAAAACATCGTACTTAAAAAAAAAAACTACCTACTTTGTTTTAGGTAAGTGTTGCTGTAACAACGATATAACGATGTTTGAGACGTCTTACATTAGTCTGTCTCGTGACCATGATTGCTATAAAGCATTCGAAATGCTGGGAATCAAAAATAAATGTGCGAAAAAAAATCGAAAAAGATAGTTTTATTTTAAAAAATAACCATCAAGGTAAAAGCTACTAATTAACGGACTGTATGTAATAAAAACTCCAACAAACTAAACTAAAATTCGCCAAATCATAAGATGCGACGCCATCGGACTTTTTCGTGACAATATTTTTTAATTTCAAGGTTTATGCTGACACCTACTACCTACGTCTTAAAAAAGACGAATTTAGTGTTATATGAACGCAAAAAAACAAAATTCAACAACATCCAAGGAAATATCACAAAAAGTGTCGACAAAAGATTGTGAATGACAAAATAATAATTAATCCATAAAACCTGTGACTTGTATCTAAATTATAAATTATACTAATCGCAAATATTTATTCGTAAATATATAATAATACTTAAATATTTGCATACCGTCTATATACGATGATAATGACGAACGATATAAAATAAATTATAATATTTACCTTTATAATTTTATGATCTTGGTACAACTTCCTTATGCATTTGAAGAAGAAGACAAAGCTCATGCCTGAGAGGATGAGGCAGAAGATGATCAAGATCACTTTAATATGTGTCTGACTGAACATTGATTCCGTCACTAGCTGTAAAAAAAAGTGTGTGTGTACTTATGTACGCACGTAAAAGGTAATATTTCTTTGGCGTAACAGAACAAAAATAGCTAAAGATTTCATCCCGTATGTCACAACTCTCTGTTTGTACAAGGAATGCAGCTTACTTCATCATGTCGCTTTTTGGCTGTCAGTGTGCGCGCATCGTAAAAATTTTACTCTCATATTTTTTTCCAAATATGCCAAAAGAAATATAACTTCAAAAATACTATTTGTAAATATGATCATGCTAATAAATATATGAAAATGAATTGCTTGTTTTTTGATACCTTAATGGGATCAATTGTGGGGAAATATGATAAGGAAAAACAGATAAAAATTTCATTTTAACAATCCGTCTCGTAAAATAAATTAATGGTTAGTATAACTAGTCTTTTAAGGTATCTTCTCTTCTTCTTTTATCTTTTTATAGTTATGTTCTTTACAGGTTTTCTTTCAAATCACTAATACTATTAGTGATTAATTTATTCAATGACAATTTTATCAAACAGTTATTTTCAGAGGAACTACAAATATTTTTTGATGCATAATAGAAATTATTTACCTACATTTTTAGTTATATATAGCGTATTACTAAAATAATATTTACAGTCGTTATTTTAGAGGCGTTCTTGGATGGGTAATAAATAATCATTGCATAAGGGAGTTTTATGTGGGGATTCCTGAGCTTGGGAGAAATAAAATGGCTTCTGCCCAACTGAAAGCCTGACAAAGTCCTATACGATATATTTTTAAAGTAAAACTCTTTCAGTGATGATTGTCAAAGAATATTTTTATAATATAAATAGTTATAGACATGATATTGTTAACTTACATCACATATTTCTTTTTCTTCATCAGCTTTTAGTCGGCAATTGGCATAGTGATCGCATCTCAGGACTTCGTCGATGCATGTATTGTCTTCACAGTCGAACTCTCCTTCTTTGCATTTATCTATATTTAAAAGAGTTATTATTTAATAACTTAACCAAAATTTTAAGCTACTCTGAGCATTTTAAACCATACTAAATTTCCGTGCGTGTCCGATGTTTGTTATTTTGTCACTCTGAAATAGTTCGACGGATTTTGATAAATTTTAGTACACCGATAGGTTATGATCTGGACTAGCATATAGGTTTTTTTTATGGTGCTCAGTGATAAGCAAGCAGACCTGGTGGGAAGCGGTACCTGCCGCCCATAACACCTACGGTTCATGCACTTAGGTTTTATGTAACAAATATGCAGCGTTTTCACTGTGAGGACCAAGATGATTTGCCTCTTGCATGTAATTGCTTTGGCTACCTTATCCTTCAAACCCGAATACAAAAATGCAATATGGATAGTTTTTATCCCGGAAATCATCCCTTAAGGGGGTGAACAGAGGGATGAAAGTTTGTATGGGGAATTAATCATTTCTCAAGTAAGAATTATAAAACACCGACTTCGAAAATATTTAAATATTATAAGGTTTTTACATTATAATGCCTGGAAGTCAGATTTTTTGTTAAGTTTTTATTAGATACCAACTTTTACTTACCATCTTTACTAGGGTCTACAGTCCTATACGCAGTGAAGTTAGCTTTGATTGTTGGGCTTACTGTTGCGTACAAACGAACATACATTATGTTGATTTGGCTATCTGGATCGTTCGCATCACTGTCCTTTGTTGTTACAGGGTTTGCGACTGACCCACAGTAAAAAGCAAGCCTGAAAGGTTAATTTATTATATATATAATGTTTTACAGAAGTCTAAAATATACTTTGGTGATTTTTCCAATTATTTGTATTTAGCGATTTTTGAAACGAAATTGTGAATCGAAGTTTTCAATTCATTCGCATGGTAAGCATAGCGGGGTTGAAAGGTAACCTATGTCCGTTTAAATTATGCAATCTATATCATTGCCAAATTTCATCGAAATCTGTTCAGAGCTTTTAAGCGTAAAAGGTGACAGACAAACAAAAGTTAATTTCAAATTTGTAATATAAGTATGGATAATAATTAATTGATTAACTTCACTGATTTTTTTTGATCATTTTCAGCTTTGCTTATTGCACTTAAGGTCGCAGGTTCGATACCTGCATGAAGTTTTATATTGACTATATAAATATATATTTCACTAGCAAAACTCGCAGCTCCGCCCGCGTTCAGGTGACCAAAAACCAAATTCTTAGGTTTTACATATTAGTATACTCTTATATTTCAGTTTTTGTATTTTTTCTCTGAAATGAGACATATTTCTGCAGTAAAAAGTATCCTATATGTTGACCAGGATAATCAGCTATCACCATACCAAATTTCATCAAAACCCCTCCAGTGGTTTTTCTGTGATGCGGTAACAGACAGACAAAAATTCTAAAAACTATAGATTCGGCCTCTGTATCGATAATAATGTCTATTTCAATAAGATTTTCCAAAAAATATTTAATGTACAGATTCGGCTTAGTTACAATTTTATTATATGTATAGATTATATCACCCAATCATCAGTAATATCTTTGTATAGATAAAAAATGGAGGTATAAATAATACGAATAAACTATATTTTGTTCTGAAGAAATTTACTTAGCAATAGCGTTATTTTATATTAAAAATATCAAACTTGCTTGTTATTCTCTTAATTTAAACCTCAATTTTTAACTAGGTCATTTCAATTTGTATATTAAATAGTCACCTGGCGTCATACTCCAATTTGTTTCCGAATACTTGAACAAAATTTTCCTCGCACTCGTTAGGCTTCGCTAAAGTATACTGCGTGAAGTTGAGATAAATCTGAAGCAAAATACATAATATATACAAATCTTACTAAAGCAAACTTATCGCATCTATTGATATTTGTTGATATCTTGAAATAACTATTAGTTTATTCAGTCAACATTTAGAAAATCTAACATTCTAAATAAATATTTCAGATAGTAAAATCAGATATTTTGTCTAAATGAAGTCGAATTCAGATATTTTTCTAGTATTTAGCCATTTTTTAAGGTCCCATTGTTAAGCACGGGCCTCCTTCCAATGCGATCAGGTCATACTTCACCATATTAGCCAAGAGGAGGTGGAGGTGTGGGGGTGGATTCTACATGTCTTTCGAGAACCGAATAGGTTCTCTTGAATATGCAGGATTCAGGAGCAAAATTTATCCCTTATAAGCCACAAACACCGTGAGTTTGTGGCTTATAAGGGATAAATTTTCCTAGTATTACTCTATATTTATAAGATTATAATATAACTATACCTTATTAACAGGGGGTACTTGGATCTTCCAAAGCATATCTATAGTTCCCGTCTTGCATCCATCTGGAATCGAATCCGAATCTATCAAACCGTGAGATACATCTAAAAATTCTTTGTAACAGGCTTCTGGTACTTTATCTGTAAAGAAAAAAACGAGGATTTTTTGACTGAAATTCAAGCATTTTTTTTTCCAATGAAAATCCAAAATTGCATGGCACGTACTGCTTTATAATAAATAAGGAAAAACTTGGAAAAAAATTCAATTATAATTAAATAATTTGGAATTTATTAAAAAACAAGGAATATTAATTTGTTTATATGAATAAGATTGTAATTGTGATATTTTACACTAGCGACTCACCCTCGCTTTGCTTCAGGTTCGTCCCTAGACAAAAACAAATCTATCCCACGAAAGCCGGACATTTTTCCGGGATGATATATTGTCTATAGCTTTCCTCAATAATCTAAATATTTAACGCAAAAAGAATTTTTCAAATCAGATTAATAGTTCCTGAGATTATCGTGTTCAACCAAACAAACAAACTCTACCTCTTTATAATATTAGTATAGATACGTATACCTAGTGTCATAAAAGATGTGTCCATCCACCTTTTGAAAACCTAAACAAAATTTCCATACATAATATCATTATGACTTAAAAATTAGAAACACTGACGTTGAAATATACAAAAATATTGTTCTGGAGAAATTATGAGCATATTAATAAATAAATAAATATGTTGGGACATTAACACACAGCACCATCTAGTTCCATGGTAAGCTACGAGGCTTGTGTTATGGATACCAGATAGTTGATACACTACATATACATATATATATATATAACTTTAAATACATACATATTATAAATATAAACACTCATGACTGGAGTATAAACATTCGTACTCATCACACAAATGAATGCACCTAGCGGGATTCGAACCCGCAACCGCTGGCATAGCAAGTAGGGTTACTATACACTGAGCCAAACGTGTCGTCACACAGAGCATATTAATAATTTAATAGTAACTAAAACTAATGTATTAAGTATAAACTATATTTTAAAAAGACTTAGAACTAGAATATTACAAGTATTTTTGTATCGTCAATACCATATAATACGTAGTGACACTTTGACACCACAGGCTTGGCTTATATTAGACATCACTATATATAAAGAAAAATGTTAGGTGGCTCCTCAGAACAAGGCTATTAACGAAACTTCAGCTTATTAGGAATCTCTATCATTTATGACAAAAATATCGATAGTTTTTTAGTTAAATATAAGTATCAAAGTATAAACGTAAAAAAACTTACAACTTCTACTGGTTTGTATAAATTTGTAGTTGATCTGGAATCCTTCGTATTCAATGGTGTCATCAGAATGGAACTTCAGCCAAGCATAAGGTCCTGATGTGGTGATCTGACGAGGAAAGGCTTCTCCACATACTTTAGCAAGCAATTTGGCATAACCTCTTGAGCCATCTCGAATCTGATGGATAGTAATTTAAATTACATTAAGTCATTTTGAATAAAAATATCATTTCTGAGTTTTTCGCGAATTTATTTTGATTTTTGGTTCCAGACGTTTCGAGTGCTTTACAGCAATTATGGTCACGGGAGAGAATGAGGTGTTAGATGTCTCGAAGGTATAGTTGTTACAGACATTTTACCCACTAATAACGAAATGAATTCAAAAAATTGAAAAATGGCACCAAAGTATCTTGCAATATCTTAACTTTTTACATTTTTATAATTTTAATTAGTTTGATTATAATTTATTTTATTTAAAATGTCAAATATTCGCATAAATCTAAGTAAGTATTACATTAAGTTCGGAAGAACCGGAAGTCTTCTTTCAATCTTTTCTCATTTATATCAACGCGTCTCAGCCTAAGACTAACTGGTGACCCCAGCTGACAGCTATTTTGCTCAACGTATAAGTATTTCAATTCAAAGGGTAATGCCGATATCTAAATACCTTGCCTTATATGTATATTATATTCTATATATCAAAAGTAAATTATTCAAAGAATATTTGTTGTAATGCTGCCTCAATTTTTTTGTTTGGGTGGCTAAGCTATTTTTGAGGGTGATATTGGTCAATGTGGCTCTGGATAATTAATGGTTATTTATTTAATTTTTTCACTCTATAACTTTGATGGGAGAGCAAGATGATAAAATAATAATTATTAGGTTACAGGCCTAATGATTTTAAATAATATTCAGGTTTCCACTTTACTCGGGATTCGAACCCATCATAATCTTATGATATATATCCTAAGGTCCAATATGTTGTCGTATATATATTTTTTACAATATAATAAGATTATAAACTATCTGCAAGTAGTGAGTTGACTAACGTATTCAGTTGGGCAATGAGATAGTTTATAATCTTATTATATTGTAAAAAGAATATATACGACGATATTGGCGATAAGGGTTATGGAAATACTGTTATAAAATTTTGGTACGTATTTTTAAATAAATTGGCATTGGTTTCTATCTCATTAGTCAGAATAATATTGTGAAACTAGCGACTCACCACTCGGGTTCGTCCCTAGTTAAGTTTTAATGTTTAGTATAGATTTCTCAGAGATGAGATATTTTCCTGCAATAAAAAGTATCCTATATGCTAACCCGGATAACCAGCTATCATTACACCATACTTCATTAAAATCTGTCCAGTAGTTTTCTCGTCATGCTTCCCCAGACAGACAGACATACAAAAAATCTAAAAACTATAGATTCGGCCTCTGTATTGATAATAATGACTATTTCAATAAGATTTTCCAAAAAATATTTAATGTACAGATTCGACTCAGAATTTTGTTATATGTATAGATTTCAATTACCTAATACATGACAAAACAAAGATATTTTTTCAAATAAAAGATAGCAAATTAAATAACATTTTTTTCATATTTTGCCATCGAGAACACTCATTAGTGATACTTGAAATACATTCGATTCGCTTTCGGTTTGATTAATAATATTCCTTTTTCTTCGTCTACCAGAAGAGATGATTAAATTTTGATCTCACTTAGAAATCTCTGATTAAATTCATAACTTTCTAACTCCACCTGTGCACTATGCTAAGAAATAATGAAAAATACACCACCCACCGGGTTGTAAGCTATACGTTTATACAGACATCGATATGCTGGTTTATTAGTGAATTTAAAACTTACTTCGAGATAATCATAGCTGCATTGTGGGTGATACTCCACATGAAATCTATCAACAAATGTGAGTTCGATCACTGTTCCTTCACTACCTGTAAATAAAAACTTATTATTAGTGAAACTTTCATTTTCATTTGCTATACATAAAATATTTCGCCAATCTATATATAATAGAAATCGAAATTATAAGGGCTTATGCACATGACGTTTTAGAAACGTGCCGGCAACGCGCGTTTGTTGAGCGAAATTTGCGTGTATTTTGCCCAGATGAGCTTACAAGGGTCTAGGCACACCGCGTTTCATAAAAGCACCAACACGTGTGTTAGCATAGTCAACATAATTTTACATCGTTTAATTTAAAATATCTGTATTTATTATAATGAATTAAAATAAATGAATTACAATGAACAATAATAATGTGTTAAATAATAATTATTTATTAATTTGATTTATATAAATGCGATGGCATTGAGGGCAACATTTTTTTAAATTAAAAATGTATGTGACACAACTGTCATATGGACAGGGTGTGAGTGCGAGTCACGGATGACAAATAAAAGTGCGAGTAACGGTCCGGTATCTTATTTCATTGTTGTAAATTTAAATTATTTAAATACATTAATAAAGAATGTGATAATTGGGTATTTTATTTAAAGTGCTATGCCTATACGTGTGTATAATTATTGTTGTCTGCATTTATGCTGCGCTGATAAATAAAAAAAATCAATTTAGATACAAACGCGCGACAAGCGTATGTCGACAGTTCTTTTACTGTGCGTCAAACAGGTGTTGAACGTACGTCCATCGCGCGATATAAAGTTGTCGTGTACACGGGCCCTAATTAAATATTTAGTTGAACGTATTTTGTGTAAATTTTAGAATATTTAGTTATGTTAGCAATGATACGGCATGAGACCAAATTCTTATTGTTACCACTACTGTTAATTTAAATTTGAGTTTGAGTTTAAGTTTATTTGAGTTTAAGGTTGCCTTTAACTTTAAGTTTGAATTAGTTTAGAAGCTATTTGGAAGAAGGACAAAAATACTTGATATTTCTTGATATTTATCATTAAAACGAAGTAAAAGTAGGGATTTTTAATATAATATTTGCTTTATTTGCTCGACTAATTGAAATTTTAAATTTAAATTTATTTTAAACTAGCAATGCCCGCGGCTCCGCCCGCGTTCAGATGAACTAAAACAAAATTCTTAGGTTTTACATATTAGTATACTCTTACAGTACAGTTTTTGTATTTTCTCAGAAATGAGATATTTTTCCGCGGTAAAAAGTATCCTATAAGTTGACCCAGATAACTAGCTATCATTATACGAAATTTCATCAAAATCTGTCCAGTGGTTTTCTCGTGATGCAGTAACAGACAGACAAAAATTCTAAAAACTATAGATTCGGACTCTGTATCGTCAATTTCAATTAGATTTTCCAAAAAATATTTAATGTACAGATTCGACTTAGTTACAATTTTATTATATGTATAGATTTTTTGACGTTGTTTTGTGTATATTTATATTATAATTGATATTTGTTGTTTGTACCTACACCGCACCGCATTATTATTTTTATATTTTCTAACGCTTGAGGGTTTCTGGTAGAGATCTCTTAAAGAGATAAGTCATCCTTTGTACACATGGTATCTGTTTTAACTTGTATGTTTTTTTTCTGGTACATAAATAAATAAAATAAATTATATACCTATTAATATCATAATAGGTTTACAATGATTAGTTTAAACGAGTCGCATACATTATTTTCCGTCAAAAACTAACTTTTAAAACTATAGTTATTATATTTATGTGTAATACAAAATATTGTCCTGTTGAAATATTTGAGTGAAGGTCATCCAAATAGACATGTTAAGAGCTGCTTACTAATCTCACTAACAATTTCTAAAGACCTATCCATTAATTCATAAGCTTTCTAATAAAAAAGCGCATAAAAACAGTCCTCGCAGCTTCCCAACCGATAGACCAATTTCATAGGATTTTTTGTTTGTAGTCCACTTTTACCAGAACAGTTGAAAACCATTTACCCATTCGAGTACGAATGCAGATTTTCATCAAATATAAGCTGAGGATGTATTTGAAACTACTTTATTTATTATTTTTGCTAAAAGCTCTTTGTACTTTGCATTTTTAAATAAAACTTACCTGATATCACTGTAACACAATCCAAGTCACTATAATAATAGTTATTTTTGCTACCCTCTTCATGAGGATGCTGTATATACGACTTGAGTGGGTTATAATAGAATTCGGTGCATCTTTTGTCTGGTTCGATAGCTCTCTTCGCCCTTTGTTTAGGTAAAAAATTTAGAAAATTCTTATTTCTATTCTTATTGCTATTATCTATGTATTTATGTATATTTAAATTCCTTCCAAAAACTTCGTCTTTATCGTCTTCTGTGTAAATGTCATCAAATTTTCTGACTTCAGATCTATGTTCTAAATAACTACTAGTTTCATATTTAAGTTTAGTTTCTACCCTAGGATTATATACATTGGTCCTTGATTCCATTAAATCGGTTTGAAGCTTGTTTTGTTCCATTGTGCGCATGCGTTTAAGCCATTTATGATCAGCTACTTGTTCTGATGGCACACCAAATGCGGAGTAAACTGTAACAAGAGCAAATATTTTTTTAATTATTATTTATAGTTAAGTCAGAAAATATCGTGGGGAAACCTGAACGTCTAAGAGAACCTAGAAAGCTTTCAATAAACATGGGAAGTCCACCAACCCTCAATTCGCAAGCGTGGTGGAGTATGACCTGATCCCACTCGTATTGAAGGCAGGCCCGTTTTTATATTTAGAATTTTTTACACGCTTTTTAGTTGCAGGTAATATTTGTAGTCTTAAGAATGATAAGTGATTTTATATTTTTCTATAAATTTAGAATTTGGTGCTTTAAATGAAAGCTCACGATATTATAAATTTTAAAACATTATAAGATATACATTTTTGAAGAAATCAAATTGATTGTTTTTTTTAAATGTAAATATACAGGGATTGGACATTTTCCCTCCAAATATATTATTGTAGAGTGAGTCACAATCGACTTTGGTTTTTATTTAATAAAAAGCGCGACAGTGCAAGTCATTTAGTATTTTTTTTAATTTTTTATAACATGAAGAAAATTTGGGAGCGCAGTAAAAACAGTGTTAGTTCATAATAAAATGTCAAGCATTTCTCTTTGTTTTAAAGATTTTAAATTGCATATTAACTTTAAAAAGAAAAAACTAGTCAATTGCTAGTTCGCCAAATTCTTTAAAATATCAGCAAAATAAGCTTTTCCCAAGTGTTTTCTAAGGATGACATGATGTGACAAAAACAACCTTTTCCAACAATAACAAAAAAAATTTGCTACTTTTCTTGACAAAACTAAGTTTGACCGTGAAAATAATAAATGGGGTATATAATAAATTACGTCCGATGGACGAAACGTCGCGATATCACAAAAGGATCCTTCACGATATCAAAATGAAAGGATTTTTTCCACAAAAGTGGAGGAAAATATATTGTCTAACGAAATTTTTGCATTGAAAAGGTTATGTAAATTTTAAAAGATAACTTTCTGCGATTTTATAAAAAAAAACATTATTCATATACACGAAGTTTGACGCGAAATGTCCTAAGTGGGTAGCAAAAAATATATACAATTTTAATATCAATATATTCTGTAAAATATTTTTATACATATTTTTTTGGTTTTATTTTGTCGTGATTTATTTTATGTTTTAAAAACTTTTAAAGGTTTTATATAATCTCGCGCTTAAATTTGAGATATTTCATAATAGAGTTTAGGAAAATTTGATCTGTTCGATTATGCCGTATGCATTACTTTAATTTTTTACTGTATCAAAATGTAGCAATAAATTAGATAAAGGTCTTTGCCTATTTATATAAAAAAAACTGTTCCCAAAAAATAAGATTAAACACTAAAGCTAAAGGAAATCGGTTGTCACACAGAGGGGAAAAGGGTACTCTTGTACGTCTTTTGAACTAATGAAATAAAAATCCATTACTAAAACAAGTACTTTAGAAGTGTCTGTTCATATATCCACACTCACGCACACACACACACACACACACACACATATATATATATATATATATATATATATATATATATATATATATATATATATATATCCTTCTCTACGGATGTTTTTTTTTATATCAAGTGTGTGACTTACATTAAAGCAGTTTTATTTTTTATTCTGTATCCAATAACCAAAAATAATTCGAAAGCTTAAAAATCTATCTCGAAATATGTATGTATACGTATAGTTAGAGTGAAATAGTATTTTTCAATTCACTTGTTACATATTATAAATGTTTGTTACAGTTTGTGTCGCTCTGCTTTATAGTTGCCGACGTCAAAGCACTAGCCGCAAACCTCGATAATTTAAATATCAAGGATGACTGCTCGTACACGCTACGTGTTCAGGTTAAAGTTTTAAAATTTGTGTCTATTTATGAAAAGTGGTGAAGCGCGAGTCGGATTTTAGGATATTTTTGAATTGACAAAAAAGCCTTATTTCCATAATAACTTTTTTGAAAAATTATCATTTTATACCTTATAGTTTGTTTATTCTAAATATCATTTATAAAAAAAAATTAAACTAAATTAATTCTAATATTTGTATGAGCAATAAATAAGTTTTTTGTCATGTTTAAGAAAAAAAATGATATTATTTATTTAAGGAAATAAAGAGTCTTGATTATTATAAGTTAAAGAGATAATTTTTAACTTTATCCATCCATTACACGGACGATGTGTAAATGCTATAATAAAGTCATAAGCGTTTCCGTTTTTACACCGGATATAATACACCTTTAATGAGTTCTCTCTATTTAGTCCCTTATTAGTATAATTTTATAAGCCACAGTGTAGTTTAGTGTAAAATAATACATTTTCTTCTTTACATAAAATAACGAGTTAATAAATTGTCCTAGAATTAAATATTTCTAATTTTTGACCCCAAAATACTTGGAATTTTGATCTTGTTGTAATTTTATCATAATTTTTGGTAATATTTGAGTTTATTCATTTTTATTGTAATATAATATTTTTAAATAATGTACATAGAGCCAGTGGTAGCCCAGTGGTAATGCACTCGCTTGAAAAAACATATGAAGCGGGTTCAAATCCCGGATCTCGCATATCTGATATTTTCATATGCGAATCATTCCCAACATGATTACCACTTGTCTTACGGTGAATAAATCAATCCTGTATGTCTGAGAGAACCTAGCAAGTTTTCGAAAGACATGTGAAGTCCGACCCGCATCTGGCCAGCGTGGTGGACTATGACCTGATCCCCCTCATATTGAATGGAGGCCTATGCCCAGCAGTGGGATGTTAAAAAGGTCTAAAAAAAGATAACATAGCTTTTTAATAGCGAAAGAGTTATTAAAACTGGATAAATGTTTTAGAGTTAATAGGTTATAAACAAACAAAATATATTATTTTTTCATTTCTTATATTTAAATAACTAGGACCGAATTTCGTCTTGATTTGCATTGATAAGCATTCTTCACTAAACCTTCTTAAGTGATCTATTAAGGGAACTTCTCCCTACAACGATAACCTACCAAATTACAAGTGCGTTTCAGTACTTCTAATTTAACCATGTAATATATATACCGTTGTTGAATTCCTTCCATCTCCTTCGAGCTACGACACAAATTAACTCGCGCTCTACGCGGTAAAGCGTGCGATGAATAAATTAACAAAATGACTGCTTTATTTTCTTTGAATATATATGTATGTATTTCTTTGTTTATAGATAGATTATGTTATATACAAGTGATATGTTCGTTTTGCTTAGGCTTTATACGATGTTTTTGAATGTAAGGGGTGCTGTGTCAAGTGTTAAAGTAAAAATCTATTGATTAATTGGACCCAGTTATGCAAAAAACAGCCATGTGCGTAAAAGTACCAACAGAGTTATAAGCATTTTTCTGTCGATAGTTGCACTTGGGTTATGTTTTGTTTTTCTGGTTATTTTAAAATTGAACAATATTTATATAAGTATTGTTTATTTTTTATAACTATTTTATTTTTTATAATAAAATGCTACGAGGTACGTTTTATTGGTAAGTATGGATATCCCACGGGAACCTTATATTTTAAGAGATAAAAAGTAACTTATGAGCTATTCCAGATTATAATCTATCTCTGTGCCCAATTTCATTCAGATCCCTTCAGCCGTTTTGGTGTGATTGAGTAACAAACATCCATCCATCCAAACTTTCAAATTCATAATATTTGTGGGATTTATAATTTAGAAATCAGTTGAAAAGTTAGTTTAACATAAGTTTAGGGTGAACCTAAGAAAGTATACGCGTATGTAAGTATGCTTAATAGTAAAAAATGCCCTTTACAGTCTTTTGGTTCTATAATTTAGAACTATGTACGACACGTTTGGCTCAGTGTGTAGTAACCCTACTTGCTATGCCATCGGTCGTGGGTTCGAGTCCCGCTGGGGACATTCTTGCTCATCACAAGAATTTTGTTACTTTTTGTTATGTTTGTTAATGTTGAATACTCCAGTTATAGGTGTTTTCTGTTTAAATTATAATATGTATTTAAAGTTATATTATTATGTGTAGTGTATGAACTATCTGGTATTTATAACACAAGCCTCGTCGCTTACCATGGAACTAGATGGTGCTGTGTGTTGATGTCCCAACATATTTATTCATTATTATTTATAGTGAAAATGAAAATAAATCACGCTTTCCAAAGATGTCTAGGATGCCAGGCTAGAGTAAAATACATTTATTTTCTCACTTTAATAGTTTTTCACAACGAAAGCTAGTAAAATGTCTTTGTAAGTAAAATAAAATTTTAAAAGTTTTTACAGCGCCAGCGGTCGCGGGTTCGAGTCCCGCTGGAAGCTTTCATTTGTGTGATGAGCACGAATGTTTGTACTCCAGTCATGGGCATTTATATTTTTAGTATGTATTTAAATATGTATCAACTATCTGGTATCCATAACACAAGCCTCGTAGCTTACCATGGAACTAGATGGTGCTGTGTATTGATATCCCAACATAATTTGTCCCAACATAAAAGAAAAGATAATTTTAATACTTAAATAACAGACGCTTTTTAGGGCAAAAGGAAATTAAATGCTACTCAACACTCCCATGTATCAATCAAAGTAAAATCTCCATAGATTTCATTCATCTTCGTAACGTCAATCACTGATCTTTTACCTCCCCATTTCCTTCAGAAGAATGATGTTAGGATCCTTAGTATTCTTAATTAGCACTAAATCTAGATAAATGGTTTGAATGACTTCGAAAAAGGAGCAATCAATTTAGGTGTGTTTTTTTGTGTGTATGTATGTATGTATACAGCCCGTTTTAAAGTCCCACTGCTGGGCACGGACCTCCCTGCAGTAGGGGGATCAGGCCATTGTCCATCACGCTGGCCAAGTGCGGTTTCGCGGACTTCACATGTCTTCTGTCTGTCTTTTAAAAATTTGCTAGGTTCTCTCAGACATGCAGGTTTCCTCACGATGTTTTCCTTCATCGTTAAGACAAGTGGTAATCATGTTCGAAATAATTCGCACATAAAAATATCAGAGGTGCGAGACCCGGAATT